GTAGTTTCTCCTGGTTCTTCTGGAGTAGTTTCTCCTGGTTCTTCTGGAGTAGTTTCTCCTGGTTCTTCTGGAGTAGTTTCTATTGGTCCTTCTGGAGTAGTTTCTCCTGGTTCTTCTGGAGTAGTTTCTCCTGGTTCTTCTGGAGTAGTTTGTATTGGTCCTTCTGGAGTAGTTTCTCCAGTGTCTTCTGGAGTAGTTTCTCCAGGTCCCCCAGGAGTAGTTTCTATTGGTTCTTCTAGAGTAGTTTCTCCAGGGACTTCTGGAGTAGTTTCTCCAGTTTCTTCTGGAGTAGTTTCTACTGGTCCTTCTGGAGTAGTTTGTCCAGGTTCCTCTGGAGTAGTTTCATCAGGCCCAAATCCTGCAGTAGTTTCGTCGAGTCCAGAACCTGCTTGTGATGTTTCTCCAGGTCCTTTTACAAAGATGATTAGAAAATGTTTTTACCGATATTCATTCTTTTAAAATCCAACTAAATTGCTCAGCTAATCTTACCAGCCATTGGATATGGGCAGTAGTTGAGGGCTTTGTATTTTACCTGTACACACTACTTGTAGCTAATCTTAGGTATTCTTGATGCATAACACTTTAAATTTGAAATGATGAATTGGTTTTATATACAAGAAAAAAACAGTTTAATGTATTTTAGCCTTAAGGCAAAAAAAAAATGGCACTCTGCATTATGTAGAACTTTTTGGCAAAGCATTAAAAGTGTTTAAAATTGCAAGTAGTGAGAACAAGTAATTGCTTGTTTGTGTAGGGAATTAGGGAAGTGATGTAGTAGAAAGCAGAATGAAGGGTGTTAGTTATTCTTGGAGGCAGAGCTTAGTTACGGAACTGGATATCACGGAGGCCCTGCCTACATAGCAAGTGTGATGCTATTACCATACATCTAAGTAAGTATCTACCTTTATACGAGGAAGTCAGGACGAGTAGAGCCTCACAGTCTGGTATTCACTGATTGGCAACTTCGATGGTTCTGGCCAGTGACCTGAATATGGAAGTCGAATTTGCATAACGGCCACTGAGTCGCTACATAACTTTGTGCAAATCTATCTTAGCCGACTTTCAGAAGTCAGTGCTGTTGAATTATCTTGAATATGATGTATTTCCCCTGAATATGCCTCCTATTAAATCTGCAAGTAGTGCAACAGCATAAATTCTGATCTATAAAGACCTCGATACCTGCCTGGTCCTAAATTTACCAGACAAACATGGTTCCTGTACGTATATCTGGCGTCGATGCTGGCGAAAAGGACCTGCTGTAGCAAAAGGACTTCTTCGAAAACCATGATGGCAAAAAGAATTAACCACATTTGAAATTCAGCACACTTTGGATGCCAAACTGAACTAAAACCAGTAAAAAAATATATAAATTATATGACATGTAATTTGTGTTTATTTAATATTTTAGATGACAAAGGATATATTCTCAAACCACGGATTAATACAGCCCAACAAAAAAGAAAAGAAAAGAGGCAATATTATATGATTGTAGATAATTACCTTAAGTTCCATCCAACTGATACAAACTACATCAAAACCACTAAACTAGGAACGAACTGGCTGTTAGTCTACTGCAGGTCTAACATAATCTGGTACATATTCAGAGTGGAGATGAAAAAGTAAGATTTTTTTTTTATGAACTTCTCTGCTGAATAGTAGCATTGCTGTAAAAAGACGTAGGTTGATCGTCAGCAATAAGCAAGGAAATCAAACCATAAGCGCTGAAGTCATGGCACTACTCACCTACTCCAGGCTCTGGCCCTTCAGGAGAAGTTTCTCCAGGTCCAGATCCTGGAGGAATTTCTCCAGGTTCCTCTGGTGTTTCACCATGCCCAGGTCCTTCTGGAGGAGTTTCTCCAGGTCCAGGTCCTTCTGGAGGAGTTTCTCCAGGTCCAGGTCCTTCTGGAGGAGTTTCTCCAGGTCCAGGTCCTTCTGGAGGAGTTTCTCCAGGTCCAGGTCCTTCAGGAGGAGTTTCTCCATGCCCAGGTCCTTCTGGAGGAGTTTCTCCAGGTCCAGGTCCTTCTGGAGGAGTTTCTCCAGGTCCCTCTGGTGTTTCACCATGCCCAGGTCCTTCTGGAGGAGTTTCTCCAGGTCCAGGTCCTTCTGGAGGAGTTTCTCCAGGTCCAGGTCCTTCTGAAGGAGTTTCTCCAGGTCCAGGTCCTTCTGGAGGAGTTTCTCCAGGTCCAGGTCCTTCTGGAGGAGTTTCTCCAGGTCCAGGTCCTTCTGGAGGAGTTTCTCCAGGTCCAGGTCCCTCAGGAGGAGTTTCTCCAGGTCCAGGTCCTTCAGGAGGAGTTTCTCCAGGTCCAGGTCCTTCAGGAGGAGTTTCTCCATGCCCAGGTCCTTCTGGAGGAGTTTCTCCAGGTCCAGGTCCTTCTGGAGGAGTTTCTCCAGGTCCAGGTCCTTCTGGAGGAGTTTCTCCAGGTCCAGGTCCTTCTGGAGGAGTTTCTCCAGGTCCAGGTCCTTCTGGAGGAGTTTCTCCAGGTCCAGGTCCTTCTGGAGGAGTTTCCAGTCCAGGTTCCTTTGGAGGGGTTCTCCAGGGGAGGAGTTTCTCCAGGTCCAGGTCCTTCTGGAGGAGTTTCTCCATGCCCAGGTCCTTCTGGAGGAGTTTCTCCAGGTCCCTCTGGTGTTTCACCATGCCCAGGTCCTTCTGGAGGAGTTTCTCCAGGTCCTTCTGGAGGAGTTTCTCCAGGTCCCTCTGGTGTTTCACCATGCCCAGGTCCTTCTGGAGGAGTTTCTCCAGGTCCCTCTGGTGTTTCACCATGCCCAGGTCCTTCTGGAGGAGTTTCTCCAGGTCCAGGTCCTTCTGGAGGAGTTTCTCCAGGTCCAGGTCCTTTTGGAGGAGTTTCTCCAGGTCCAGGTCCTTCTGGAGGAGTTTCTCCAGGTCCTTCTGGAGGAGTTTCTCCATGCCCAGGTCCTTCTGGAAGAGTTTCTCCAGGTCCAGGTCCTTCTGGAGGAGTTTCTCCAGGTCCCTCTGGTGTTTCACCATGCCCAGGTCCTTCTGGAGGAGTTTCTCCAGGTCCAGGTCCTTCTGGAGGAGTTTCTCCAGGTCCAGGTCCTTTTGGAGGAGTTTCTCCATGCCCAGGTCCTTCTGGCAGTATTTCTCCAGGTCCAGGTCCACCTGGAGGAGTTTCTCCAGGTCCCTCTGGTGTTTCACCATGCCCAGGTCCTTCTGGAGGAGTTTCTATTGGTCCTTCTGGAGGAGTTTCTCCAGGTCTTTCTGGAGGAGTTTCTCCAGGTCCTTCTGGAGGAGTTTCGCCAGGTCCTTCTGGAGGAGTTTCACCAGGTCCTTCTGGAGGAGTTTCTCCAGGTCCAGGTCCTTCTGGAGGAGATTCACTAGGTCCTTCTGGAGGAGATTCACCAGGTCCTTCTGGCAGTGTTTCTCCAGATCCAGGTCCTTCTGGAGGAGTTCCACCGGGTTGGGGCTTTTCTGGAGGAATTTCAACAGGTCCAAGTCCTGTTGATGGAGTTTCTCCAGGTTCTGGAGTATTTTCTCCAGGTCCAGGTCCTGTTAGAGGTGCTTCACCAGGTCCAGTTCCTTATAGTTTTATGAAAATTAGAAATTATTTTACTTACTTTTCATTCTTTTGAAATTCAACTAAATACTTTCTGTCATTTTGGGCTCTATTTTGTCATTGGGCATGACCTATGGTTGTCAATTTGTAGCAAGAATCTGTGTTCAAATTAAGTATGATTTATATTGGTTTAACAAAAATGTAGTATAGACAGATACTTATATTTCACCATAAAGGTGAATTAGTGTTTAGTTAGTGTGCAAAGTATTAGATTGTGAGAGCAAATATTTGCCTGTGAGTGGGTGGGGGAGGAGGAGGAGGGAATCAGTGGAAATGTTTATTACTTTTAGGTAAAACTTAGCCATGTCATTAGAAATAACCAGAGACCCTGCCCATATAGCGAATGTGAAGGAAGTGCCATAACCCATTCCATTATTGGCTGTAGCGTCTATCATTATGCAAGGACATTGGTACACGATGGACCTCACATATCACTTCACTGTATCAGGAGTTCGTTAATTTGGATAACTGCTGCTTGTTCAGCTGTGATGTCATCACTACCTGATTTTGTGTATGACTTAGAGAGGTCAAATATGGTATATAATTCATGTTTTTCCCTTTGGTATAGCTACCATTAGCCATTCCAGATTCACTGGTTTGGAAAGCCTGCTACTCCTGCATGTGGCGCGGTCTAAGATTTCTGTATTATATTTTAAGAAGGGAGAAACTGGCAACTCACCCGGGGGTCCGATTCTTCAGGTCGTGAGAAAAAAATAATGTGCTAATAGCAGTTCATTTCTGTAAAATGCAATAGCGATATTATATAAAACTTCAAGAATCCCAAACATATGAAAGCACAAGTATTAAGAGTCAGGTGATGGTGAAAAAAAGCAGCCTGGCTATTCGGAGATCTCAACGGTTCAGGGTAAGTTGCCAGTTTTCCCTTTTTAGAGATTGGACATACGGTAGTGAGGCTCTGTATGCTTATTTGTTGACACTGACGCTGTGTGTGTGTGTGTGTGTGCGTGTGTGCGTGTGTGCGTGTGTACGTGTGTGTGTCTGTGTGTTTGTGTTTCATTTTGTTATTGTTTGCAGGATGACACATTGTTAAAAAAACTTTCCTTTCGAGATATACCCTTTGTGTAATGCACGTGCAGTTTGTGTATCTATGTATCTTGTTTAATTCAGACAGAACTTTGTTTAAATTCCGGAATCATTACCGGATCATTAAAAAGACAACGGTCTTTCATATGTTACTTTCTTGAATTTGTCTAACTGTAATGCAACGTTTTTCAAGATCAGTGTTTATAAGCTGCAATATAGGAATAACAATACTTACGGTAATAACGATAATATTAATGATAGTGATGACAATAACAGTGGTAATAATTATTCTAATGATAATGGTAAAGATAAACAGCGATACTAAGGATTCCAATGATAATGCAAATGAGGATAATGATGATGATGACTACGATAATAACAGTA